TCCACTCAATCACAGCGAATGAAATCATGGTTTGGTTTAGAGAATATTCTGATGTGCCAGTTTTTCTCTGGTTCAGTGGCAGTTCAAACTGTTTTCGCAAAATTTTTTGAAGAGAAAAACTTTTGATTTGTTTCACTTAAAAAACAAGAAGAGTGTTACTTTGGTTTTTAACAAGTAAAATGGTTGTCTGATTTTTCCCACTTAAGTATTTGAATATTCCATAAAAGAGTCCATATGTCATAAAGGAAGCAGAGTGATGTTGGAGCTACTGGAATTCCATCAGACAGGAGTCTGAACTTCAGCTGTCAGGTAGTAGCTGCGCAACTACAGGCAAGTTACTTATCGTCCTCTGACTTGGTTTTCTTATCTTAAAATAGGGTAATGTATGTAGAAGAGGTGTTAAGCAGGTTCAATTTAGTTTATGCAGTTAAGCTGAATGGCAGAACCGTAGGTGTCTGACATACCATGCCATCTTCCCCAGCACAGTGTTACAGATTCACTTGCCAATGATAAACCATTACTTACAACAACTAAAAGAACTGGACAGGGTTTTTAAAAATTCATTTTTTCTTTGTAAATATTATTCTGGGGGATAAGAAAATTAAGATGAAATCATAGGCAGTGTTAACTATTTTAACTATTTTAAAAGAATGTGTTTATCTGCAGGACTGAGAAGACATATGAGCTTTAACTTAGGAAAAAAATATGTTCATTTGAATCCTCTTTTGTTGATTTGTTTAACAAGTCAAAGGTAAAATGGGTTCAGACAAATTGAGTAGAGTTAGCCATGCATGCTGCAAGCTGTCTTTGGAGAAAGCACCTGCGCACACTGCTTACTCTCATTGTGGAATGGGGCCAGGTTTACAGACAGAGCATAATCTTCCCAAGCTGGCTCCACACCTGAAGTAACAGAAAGTCAAGCTGCATTTGAAGTATTTTCTGCTACCACATATTCACACTACTTTTTACTGAAAAGAATCACAAAACCTTCTGTAAGGTGAGCAAAGAAAGCATCGCCTTATAGAGGAAACAAACGTATCTAATTTCCCTTTCCCGAATTCACCAAACTAAAATTAACTTCAGTTTTTTTTTTTTTTAATTTNTAGGAGAGAGAGAGAGAGACAGCATGAGCAGGGGAGGGCCAGAGAGAGAGGGAGTCACAGACTGAAACAGGCTCCAGGCTCTGAGCCGGCAGTCAGCACAGAGCCCGACGCGGGGCTCGAACCCACGAACCGCGAGATCGTGACCTAAGCGAAAGTCGGACGCTCAACCGACTAAGCCACCCAGGCGCCCCTTAACTTCAGTTTTTTAATAGCAGGATTTTAAAATACCAACATCATCGTGTCTACAAAATCTTGTCGACTTAGAGCAACAATAAAGAATTGATGATATTCTTTAAAAATGGTCTCTATAAATAAAAAAAACCTTCCATGCAATTCTTATATACTATATATACTATGTAATATACACTATATATAATAACACTGTTTATGCAACAGGTACTATATATATAGTGTGTGTGTGTGTGTATATATATATATATATATATAGTATATATATGCATCGTGTATACATAATACACTCTTTAATGAAAAGCCACAATATAAGTAGACCATAATATGGCCAATATACCCTGTAATTCCCATGTTCCTTTCTACATTATGAAACTAAAATAGAAAGAGTTCAAAAGACTGAACTTCTCATTCTCCCTGTGGACTACCCAGAGATGGTCAGAGCTCTTTAAAATTTTTTCACTGTCAGGTTGTTACTGATAAAGATGAAGCCTTTCAAATCAAGTAAAAGCTTCTCATCTGATTCACTGCTACCACTTGGCAATGCTCTGTGATGGAATAAATGACAGTGAGGAAAACATTTTCCCCGAAGAAGTTTCCAAAATTTAGTAGCTATTTCCTGAAGAATGTTGAGGAAAAGCAATTGTGCAGAACTGCTATTGTTGGAGTTCAGTACCACATCTGAATGTGGTAAATAATGAGAAAATTCCTGTTAATGAGGGAAAAATGAGATTGTCAAACTAATACCATTTTCCTTTAAGTCTGTTCTTTAGAACACCACCCAAGGAAGTGAGTAGCTTAAAATTCCCAAATTAAAAGTCTAAATTCTCAAGTCTGGATGAACAACGAAATGGCTATCGCTGGCGAGGACATGGAAATAGCCTAACGCATGCAGTATCTGGACTGGGGAGGACTCCCAGGCAGAGCAGGCATCGTGCAGCTCGTACAGCCTGAGTTTCTTTCCACCAAGGCACGTCATCACTTATGCATAACATACCCGATGGAACGAGAGAGAGCTGGAAGTTCTAACATATTCACTCTTGTAGGGGTTATTGATGATTTGTCCTATAAATAGTGCTTTGACGGGGCGCCTGGGTGGCTTAGTCGGTTAAGCGTCCGACTTTCGCTTAGGTCACGATCTCGCGGTTCGTGGGTTCGAGCCCCGCGTCGGGCTCTGTGCTGACGGCCAGCTCAGAGCCTGGAGCCTGTTTCAGAGTCTGTGACTCCCTCTCTCTCTGACCCTCCCCTACTCACGCTGTTTCTCTCTCTCTCCTAGAAATAAATAAAAACATTTAAAAAAATAAATAAACAAATAGTGCTTTGAAGATAAGTACAAGAAAAAAAATGGAATCCAATCCAAATAAATGTACGAGGCAAGAAGATGAAAGAAACAGGTAGACTCCAGAATAAGTCATTCAGGGAATGACCAAGACCCGCATATTAAGTCAGGAGAAATTAGTTTGGTTATGTGGAAGAGTATTACCTTCAAAATATTATTCATAAGATTTTGAGCCCCTATCCTCTAAATAGTCAAGGCCAAATTAAAGGTTTCTTAAAGTAAGAGAGACTTTATTACTAGCTATTGATGTAGAAAGGAGAACACAGATCAGACGTTTCCGCACTTAATTTCAGCCTAGATCACTGCACCAAGGTCTGACCTCGGCTCCCCTCACCACTGGGGTGCAACACCTTTACTCCTTATTCCCCACTCCCCTGCCAAACCCACGTGGACTGCTGGACAAAAATATAGATTGATGTTTACAGAAGGGGTGATTCCTAGACTTCTGATGACACACGTAATGGCATAAGGCTTATAACAGACTACATTAAGAAAAACCTCTGTAAGTTTTGTGTCTGAAAGTAAAAACCAAGGCAGACTAGATTTTAAAATCTGTACAATAGCCAGGCAGGCACCCTGGGGATGTAGATACTTGTTGAAATAGAATATACAAAGGTTAATGATAATATTTCTAATATAATCAGGTTCTGGCCTGTGTCAATTTACATAGAATCTAGTCTGAGATATTTTTCTAAGAGGGGAATGACTTGTAGAAGGTAAGTCTTTCTTTGAGAATGATCGAATTCTAAAATATACTACAAAGCCTTTTCAATGATTGCAGCATAAAAGAATGTAGCAATGTTAAGTCTCAGGCTGATTGTGGCTTAATAATAACACCTACTTCAAAAGCGTGTTGTAAGGATTTAATAGGATAATCTATGAAAGTGTTTATTAGCACAGTGCCTGGTACATAGAAAATGATCAATAAATGGGAGCAACCAACACTCTGAATTGACACTGAAAACAAAGGACTTGCTATAAAGAGTGGAGGATCACTCTGTATCATAAGCTACTTTTTAAACCGATACATATTTTTTGATTCATTCCATCAATTCTAGTTTATTTAATATGAAAGGGACAAAAGCACAGTGTACATAAAACTAACTCAGGAGTTGTAATTCCTTCTCATAACATACCTGTTAAAGCAGAGCTATTTACAAAAAATATCAACACTTTTTTACTTCCTTTCTCTTTTTTGTCCATCCATTTTGGTAGAAATGTATCAATGCAGAGTCAGCATTAATTTGAAGGTAGAAGAGGAAAACGACAGAACACATATATAAAATATATCCTAAACATGAGGAATTATCTTTATATTGTTCTGAAGTTCTCTATACACTTTTACATGTTACTGTTTTTAATCCTCCAAGAATTCAGGTAAAGGCATTATTTTTATATATGGATAAACTAAAAATGGAGAATTATATTTTTACATGTTATATATATGCAAGCATAGATAAAAACTGCTAATAGGCCAGCATAAAATACGTAGCTACACTTGGAAACAAATACGTGACCAGCTGGTATAACCAGAGAAGACGGCATTAAATCAAAGACTGTTGTTTTTATCGGCAGGGACAGAGATGAACACAAATGCACTATCTATTAATGTAAATACCTTTCTTAAAAACGATACAGCCTCTGGCTTATTTTAAAAAATCTTTCTTTCTTCCTTAACCTATTCCAAAAATAATACTACCCCATTAAAGTCAAACTACAGAACTGACTTTTAAAATCTGTTATAATTAGAAAATATTAGGAAGACCTAAGGACAAATTTTGTAAAATGTAGAACCTACCACGGATTGCTAACTTTGTCACCTGGCTATTACCCAAGAAGGCAGGAGCCCAGCCTGTATCCTTCCCTGTGACAACCACGCCTCTTTCAATAAAGGGGCCAGGATGATGACCCTGAGTACCACAGCACATTGCCATGTAATTTTAATAATTAGTACATGGAACCCACCAAAATTATTATTACTGGTAAAAACTCAACACACTACCCTTCAGGATCTACTTGAAAGGAGAAAGATGACTAACCCCTGCAGAAGTTCATCGACAAATGTTTACTACACTGAATATGATTGTTCAGATAGATTACAACAAACACCACTCAGAAGGAAAGAAAGCAGACAAAAAGCAAAGCTAAAATCCTGATTCCAGGGAAGCACATTTACCCTGCAAAGGGGCATCATTATCAGTATTTTTTTTTTGTAAGAAGTCTTTACCTTTTTTGTTTAAGGCAAGGCTACTTTCAATTGGAAATTCAGTACGATCTAACCGTATTTTACTTGCAGAGTAATATACTGCATTTTAGCAAACATAAACCAAGGCAAATGAGAAAGGTTTTAAACCAATAATGACGGGTCCCAGTACCTGAACACAGGTTTAATGCAGACAGACATTTAAAACAAAAAAATGTCCCTCTTACCTCCTCTCCATTTAAAGGTTACAGGACACAGTAATACTGAATTAGGACACAGGCACAAGTTACGCAAATCTTATTTAATATGTAGTACCACCTACATCCTGCTTTCAGACTTTCAGCACAATTTAACACATTCAAGAAGGCTGCTAAAAATCAGTTCAAAATACCTATCTATACCAATGGTTTTCAAACTGTTTTTAGGATTTTAACTGTCCCCTTAAAATAATTAAACCTCATGCAGTGATCTTATATAGTATATAAAATAGATAAAGCAGACATGTTCTGGTTGAAAATAAAGGCTGGTAGCTTGGAGTCCTTCCAACCATCTCTGGGAGACCCCTCAGAAATCCAATGAGCGTAGTTTGAAACCAGTGAAATAATGTGATTTTATTATGTCAGCAATTAAATTTATAACAACTATTTAAAGTTTAAGTTAAACAAGTGAAACGCTGAATGGAATGTTGGGATATGAAGAAGGCTAGCACTCAAATGAGCAGTTAAATTCATCAGACAATATGCTTTAAAAATACCCATTAAGAAGTTAAAGGGACAAGGTCAGGTTTGTACATCATCATACTATTTATTGAAGTAGAAAGAACCTGAAAATTTTTTACTTCAAAACTTCAGTATAGTAAACTGAAATTGTGGATAATAAAATGCTGCTCCTTCTTTTTATTTCCTAAATCATGGTTTACCCCAATTATAAATTAGGGTAATTACATTGAAATGTTCACGAAAAATAAACAGTACCATCATGGGCTTTACAGTAACCAATTTCTTTACAAAGTCTTGAGACCAAAATGTTACCTGACTATGCCAGTAAGGAGAATTTTCCTTCAAAGATATTTTTAAGGAAAGTTTTTGTTTCTTTCTCTTTCTAAATTTGGGAAAACTGTGAAACATAAAAGAAATGCAAATATAGAGTAAAAAGTGCTTATTCAGAGTAGTTCTAACTGCTCATATCAAACTTCTCTTTAGGAAAATGTATCCAGTACAATTGAATCAACATACAATTTATTTTTTTTTACGGTAACAGATTTTGCATATTGAGCTTTTAAAAAGTACATTTAACTACAAAAGATTAAATACTTATAAAATATATTTACCCTGAAATGGTTAAGAATATAAAACGTTGATGCCCATGTCAACAGTACATTATACATTACACGCATTATTTAAAGGTCATTTTCTTTCCAGTAATAATGTAGATAAAACCACAATATTTATTGCTTGTTATCAAGTGCAGGTTAAAATCCAGATAGCCTCCAAAAACAAATCCTTGTTTTGAGGAATTCTCAATCTGGCCAGGTGAAATATTATGCTGAACATGTACGAATACAGTTGCAAAATGTACCAGTTTTCAATAAGCATTCAAGTCTTTATTTCGGATAGCTGTTTACAGTTTGGGGACAGTGTCCTGAGATGTTGGGCTGGGGACTGAATATATCGCTTATCTGGTTGGTGTCTATTCTACCGCACCGTTTCTGGGGCGTGAGGATTTGCTAACAGACAAACCCTTGTGACTAACGCAACACTGTTAGCTACGAGTGCGGGGGCTTGCAGGGCAGAGTTGTTATTTATAGGACATTCTGCTGCAACAACAGTGTCCAGCCAACGAAAGCGCCTACCAAAATGACTGACACAAACCCCATCTTAGTGAGAATAGGTTGCCAATATAACCACCTTTTCCTTTTTCGTTCAGTCTCATTTAGCCTCTGTTTCATCTGCTGCACCTTCTGAGCCGTGTTAGCTTTTCTGTCCTCTCGAATACGTTTCCGTAGAACACTAGGAATAAATAAAAACAAATAAAAGGAGGTGTATGGTAGGACATAATTACTCTAATGCAGAGGACCTGAGCCCAAATACCCACCTCCCAAGCCCATTTTAAAACTTTACATTAAAACACTGGAATGAAAAAAAGGGGAGGATTTTCAATATTCTAAGTGGTCCAGAGATGTACTCTAATAATTCAGCAATTTCTGGTACAATTTTCTATTAATAAATGCTTTTAGTAGGACCTGAAAATAAGTACGGGGCTTTCTTTTGTTGAAATGTGAGCTGGAGGCCATCAGCTTGCTTTCTTGCTAAGCAGCCGGAAGAGGTGAGGGAGAAGAGTCCCTGGCATCCAAGCCACTTTTGTTGTTTCCATGTGATTTTCCACAAAGGCCACTCATAAAAGCTATCTACTTCATACTTCCATGAAGATGCTACCATGGGATGTCTATTTCTCTGTTTGTCCACTCTTATTTCTAGCTTCCATCCTCCTATTCAATACAGAATGTTCCACTGGAAGCTCTCTGACTCCCAGGTCACATGGTCCTAGGACACTGTAAAGAAGAATGGCCAATGGCAATATGTACATTACTATATCTTCCCTTTAAAAATTTTTCACAAAATCCATATCCTTTTCACTTATTTCCTATAATACAGCAAAAACCTAACCAGCTTCCTTGCCTCTGAATTACACATTATCACCATAGTAATTTTTCTTAAGTACAACTCTCTGGTTGTAGATCTTGATTAAAAATTTTGGATGCCTTGTCAGTCTACTACATTAAGAGCCAACTTTTTTTTCCCTACCCAAAATGTTTAACCTGAATCTAATAATGAGAAACAAGCAAAGGAATCCAGATTGTGGGGTGTTCTAGAAGGCAACTGGTATAGCAGGTGCAAAACTGTCAAGGTCAAGCAAGGAAAGGCAGAAAAGTGGCAGTGGACAGTTGCAGATTAAAGGAGACTAAAGATCAATCAAATACAATGCATGATCCTTGATTAGATCTCAAACTGTGTCTTTAAATAGCTACAGAGACTGGGATCATGAAAATATTCCAAAATTAGATTATAGTGATGGCTTCACAACTCTGTCAATGTACTAAATCCACTGAACTGTATGCTCAATATAGTTATTTTTTTTAAAAGCTATAAGGTGGGTCTTTTAGACAACTAGAGAAATTTGAATACAGACTATATATTAGATTATTTTAACAATGTTCTAATTTCAATTCTGTTTTTCCATTTCTCCCTCCATTCAATCCCTAGAGCCCCTCTATTCTTACCTCACAGCATTTAATTTATAGTAAATAAGTCATGTTGCTAATTTGGGATCTTGTTTTACCCCCTAAATATATTTGCAACTTGGGGCTCTATTTTGCTTATCTCTGTGTACTTTTCGGATTTTAATGTCTTCCTCACTTTACCTATCATATACCTATCATTTACCTGCCATATACCTATGAACTCTACTGTAATGACTTGCAAAAATTATTACCCAGAATTCACTCTGAATTTAAAATTCATTATTAACAAATATGTGTGTACCTGCCAGTGAAAAGAAATTAAATTGTATTCAAGTGCAGGTAAAACATATATAAAATATGTAAAAGAATACATGCATTTGCTTCTGCTAGGAGACTGAGGCCAAACAACCAGACTGCAATTTAGATAGAATCTTTAACAGATTATTTCACTTAAAATTTTCATTACAATACAGAAGATAATTATGATTTTTATCCAGTGTTCATATTTACCATATCACCCCAATATGAGTTCACCAAGTATTATAGGATTATGTAATTAGTCCTTTAAGTATTATATAAGAGTTTAAGGGGATCTTTTTTTTTTTTTTTTTTGAGACAGAGGGAGAGAGCAAGTCGGGGAGGGGCAGAGAGAGAATTCCAAGAGGGTCAGAGCCTGACGTGGGGCTCGAACCCACGAACCATGAAATCATGACCTGGGCCGGAAGTCGGATGCTTAACTGACTCAGCCACCCAGGCGCCCCAAGAGGATTTTTTAAAGAGGATTTTCATGATATTTAGAGAAACTGGTTATGGTTTCGGTTGAGTTGAAGACAGAATTTTTTTCCCATGTAGAAAAATGGAATAGAGGCTCTTGCTTTCCAAAAATGTACTATACATGCTTTTAGTAATGGAATGAAAACAAGTACCAAGAGATGCCATTACTTAAAAGAATGCAATTCCAGAGAAGAACTATTCTCAATTTGCTTTTTTTTTTAAATTTTTTAAATGTTTTATTTATTTCTGAGAGAGAGAGAGAGAGAGAGAGAGAGAGCACATGAGCAGGGGAGGGTCAGAGAGAGAGGGAGACACAGAATCTGAAACAGGCTCCAGGCTTTGAGCTGTCAGCACAGAGCCCGACGCGGGGCTCGAACCCACGAACCGTGAGATCATGACCTGAGCCAAAGTCGGACAGTTAACCGACTGACCCACTCAGATGCCCCAGAACTATTCTCAATTTGTGATGCAATAAACTATTTGCTTAGTTGGGCCTAGGGAAATTGTGCCCAAGTAATAACCTGCCCTGGTCTACACAATTCTATAATTCAAAAGCCACAAATTGGCAGGGAATGACTCCTGTGGACCCTTGTCCACAGAAGACCACATGGAATTCCTTACAGTGACACCCACAACAGGCTACTACCAATACATGTCTTGACAAACATACTTCACGCTATACAAACACACAGGAGAAGGATTCAAGCGAACTGACGTTTCATTTATCCAAACTGTTCTCCACTCAGTGACTTGGGTGTATGGGTTGCACTATAATTGAGAACACTGGCTTTTAAACTTCAACAGCAAGAAATAGCTTACCATCACAACATAGTAGCCTCACATACAGATACATTTTTACATGTATACAATATATATGCCAATATATAGAATTTATATTATGCAAAGATGTTAAAATACTTAGTAATTATCTCTGACACTCTGATCTATTTTATTCTCTAATTTGAACTCCAATTTCTATTATATTGTATTCTATTATTTAAAAAATGCTTTTTTTTATAATTCACTAAATTGATTTCATGACTATAGGAATGTGACCTTCAATATGAAAAAACTGACTTGAAGGATATTTAATAATGAAAATGAAAGAAAAGAAAGTATTGTGTTCTATTCCCTTGAAACTGAAAATTCCTTCAATAAGATCTTGATTTATTTTATTAGCCTCCTTCATGCAAAGCTGTAAGATCAGTATTAAAATTTATTAGAATTGAACAATATAATTTTTCACGGCAATCTTTATTTTATGCCCTTTTACTCTTCTACAACCTTGCCCCCTCAATTAGTCTTCTCTGCTCACAATCCTTACTTTCCTACTGGGCCCTGCCTGTTTTCAAGCCTGACCTGGTCTGCTCTATCCTGGGGGGTGGGAAGAGCAAATAACATACGCATGCATGCACCACCTTCCTTGCCCCCAATAAAACCACCTCCACAATCACTCTATATAACTCCTGAGTGGTTTTCCTCTTTGGGAAAGATTAAAAATCAACACTTCTGAAATACTAAGGGTACCGATTCAATCATCACGCCTGTGTTCCATTTAATTCTGCACATGGTACTAGCCAAAACAACATTAGGAACCTGAGAATCTTATTACCAATAAAGATAAGGTAATTTAAAACCATATGAACTCTTGACTTAAAAGTATTATATTTAAAGTGAAAGAAGGAATAAGTAAGCAACTTTAGCCTAAAACCACTAGAGCCATAAATAAGGTGTAACAATGCTAAGTTACTAAAGCCTTCAGTATAATACATAACACACGTACTATGTATTTACTGTAATGTTACCTTTCATAAGATTTCAGATAATTTTTATACTGGTGAAATACAGAAGTGAAGCTACTGTAATTTATAGGAGAACTCAACAATTTTCATGGTGCCCCAACACCCCAATGTAACAAAGAGAACTACAACATGAAATTTTCCACAATAAAGCTACTTGACAAAAAGGAGAGAGAGTACATCACTGACAGATGAAGAGGGGAAATGAATGAGCTCTTTCACTCATACCTCAGGATACCAGCTTCCTAATGGGTGAGAGATAATTAGAACCTTAGAAATGTAACTGTTTAATTTAAAACCTGAAATTATTTACAGATTCATATGGAGTCAAAACTCAAGAAGTATAAAAGGGTATTTTGTTTAATTTTTTTTAAAAAGACTTTTCCCTTTCCAATAATGGAATGACTTTTAAATATTCATTTACATATTTTTATCATTTCATTAAAGGCATGTTATCAATTCCATTACAACCGTAAGTATGAACACTAATACTTGTACAAATGGCAGGTATTCGTACAACTCATATTCTATAAACTATAGGTTTTAGCATCTAATTATATTAACTTTAGGAGTCAAGTTAGTATTGAGTTAAAACCATTTTCCAGCTGGTTTCTATCAGTACTGGCTTCTTAACAGGGCTGAAGTTCTTTGAGATCAAGGAGGTCATCACGTACCACTCAAATGCCCATAGGTAATAAATAAATGAAGGGCTACAGTAATTCAATAAACAAAAGGCCTATATTAGTTCATATCCACTGAATTTATTAAAATAAAGTTTCCTCTTTTCAAGCATGTTATTACCATCAGCTTACCTCTCGCTGTTCTCCTCCATGGTATCCGGCGTTTTAGAGGATAGTCCTGTGTATCTGTCACCTGTCAGTTTTTCTTCTTCTAGGCCTATCCTATTCCCATTGTATTTTTCAGTCATTATTTTGGTTGGTGAATGATCAAAAGTAGGACATACGTCTTCCTTAGAGAGCTCTTTCCACCGTTTCTAGGTAGGGAAGAGAAATGAAAAACAAATGCAAACACTAAAATTGTGGTTTTCTTTAAATAAATATATGTATGACTTAAATTCTAGATTCAACTTAAGAAATCCCTGTGATGGTTACAGATGAATGGGAAAAAAAGGCATTTTGCCAAAACCTCTTGTAGATGGTTAAGTTCAAAATTAAAACATAATAAAGCATTTAATATGTACCTCACTATACAGTTAAATCTTAATGAAATTTAGTGGACTTTAACCTATTGGAGACAAACTATACCAGGACCTCACCGAACTATGAGTCATGGGAAGATTTTAGCCAAAGACAGATTCTGCTGGACGCCTAACCCACAGCGATGTTAACACTGCAAACAGTGACCAAGATGGCACTTGAATGTGATCTAGCATCTCCCAGTTCTTTGCCATGGTCTGGTCTAATGGAGAAACAACAGTGAGATCTCCAGGCAGGTCTCTCTGATGTCAAAGGACTTTAATTTGGTTTTTTTCTATCACATATGCTAGCAGATTCAGGTAGCAACTCTACCACCAGGTTAGAAAAAACTCTGCTAGCATGCCTGCACTTCAGCGAGGAGGAGGGGTTTAGACCAAGAGGAGAGAAATTCCATTTCCTTCATCTATGAAACAGGCTGTCATCACCTACCACGGGAGACTGTTGCGATTAATGAGACAACATGCCCAGCACCATGTCTGGCAAATGTTAGATTCCTTTGCCCTCACTGCCACCATCCGTTGTGAGAGAGGAAGAGGTGCAAAGTGTATGTGGGCACCAGGAAGATGAAGGCACCAACAAAGGGCTAGCCAGAGAGAGAGAAGGCAAGCATAACCTCGGCATGGGGATCTCTCAAGTCCTTCAAGGGCTGGGACCTAGGAACACAACCATCCGTCTCCCTACCAATGATAAGACTAGGTGACAGTAAGAGCCAACGGTTTTGATGATCTGTGACTCTGACACTAGTGCAAAATGACCTGGTATGGACAGGGGTGGCCCTCTTAGAAGATCCTATCAGAGAAGCATGGGGTCTAGAATCTAATGAATAAGAAAGAGACTCTGTAATTTACTGCCTGAGGATTTTAATGTTCTTGAACAGAGATGTAACACTGTAATTTATACTTGTCTGGAACTTAATGAAATATTCTTTCCTTGGAGTTGCTTTGGTAAAAAAACGGCATGGTTAAAAACAATGCTTATATATTCAGATTTTTTAAAAAAATCCCTGGAAAATTCACTGAGACCCTGATAAATTAGTTGCAAACTTGCTTCATTATCCAACAGAGGACTGAAAAAGGAAAAAGGCATTTTACCACACTCCACCTTTCCCATATAAAGCTATTTTATTAAGATGCACAATTAATGTATTTCTTTTTAAAAGTAGATTTACAAAACAGAGAATGTAAAATTTTGTAACCTGCTACATTTGGAGGACAGGAAGCAGTACAGTTTGGTAGAACTTGAGAGCTTGGCCCTGAGAGATGAGGCCAGAAAGAGAGTAGACATCAAGGAAAGAAGTCTCTGAACTTATGAGAAATTATGGAATGGAACCAACCTCTCTTAAGCAAGGACCTCACAGGATGTAGGACACATCCAGAAAGAGTGTTCTGCCAATATTTGAGAAACTACTATAACAGAATGTGAGAGTAAGATGTTTTTTTTTAAGTTTATTTATTTTTTTTTGAGAGAGAGACAGCACAAGTAGGGGAGGGGCTGAGAGACAAAGAGAGAATCCCAAGCAAGCTCCGCACTGCCACTGCAGAGCCCAATGTGGGGCTTGAACCCACAAAGCCATCAGATCATGGTCTGAGCCAAAACCAAGAGTGGGACACTTAATGGACTGAGCCACCCAGGTGCCCCAAGAGCAAGATGTTTTCACTTTGTATCAGACTATGTCAGGTTTCTTTCTTCCCATTTTACATTTTTGTTACTCAGTCCAGGAAGCATTTTGTACACTGAAGATGCATGCAGGGTAACTTCTCAGGCACTTACTATACTCACATTGACCTAATGCTTCAACTTCACCAGCTCTTAATCCTCAGAAGAACCTCAGGAGGGAAGTGTTACCACTGTTGTGATTACCCCCTTTTACAGATGAGATGGGTTGGAAAGAAGAGAAGTAATTTGCCAGGCTACGCAGCTAATGAACAGCAGGCCCCCAGATTTTAATGCTATAATCCCTCACAATTAACTGCATGTCTAAAAAGGTCATCAATTTCAGATACTCATCAATTTCTTAAACCAGACAGTTTAAGAAAGTACCCAATAAAAATGAGAAATTGTCTCCAGAATTTAGGTTGTTCAAAAAAAATTTTTTTTTTAATTTCGACTCTTCACTGGGGAACGTAATTATAACAACGTGGCCTTATACTTGGACAAAACAATGTCAATAAACAAGACAATGACAAAAATCAAGTCTTATTGGACCACTTCCCAGAATATGCAACAAATTTCAGAATCCGTCAAACATGCAAAGGACTCAGAAAAAGGGAATGGGAGTGGAGGAAAGGAGATATTTAATGGTAGTGAATTTTTAAAGAAAATGTCATTCTGTCATGTCTCTGGGCAGCAAACTCACTCAACTTTGCCTTTCCTGTGACCCACAAGCAAGCAGGCACTCCAGAGTCTCCTGCCTTTACTTGTCACTGCCACTGCCTTAGTGAAGCCAAGGAAGGAATCAATACTGCGCTCAGTTACAACTTCATTCAAGCTCTCATCTGAAGGCCTGGAGGACAGCTTATCTAGACTGAGAACTTCTCATCTTCCTTTCTAATCCTATGCTCATGATGAACCACACTCCGCACATCATGTGCTGCTTGCACATCACCCTGCACAGTGCCTGTACCCCCACCCATCTCTCACTGAAGAAACCCACTGTAACCTGTTAAAAATAAATAATTTGCTTTATTAGTAGTGTCAAATTACCAACTAAAGATCTTACAAGATCAATTCTGAATTGCCAATCTGGATATTTTATTCTATGAGGTTTGCTATCATCATGGATACGGGGAGGATGCTAATAAGTGGTTATACTAGAAACTACAATGTGGTTTTATATCCAGCCAAGGCTGAAAGATGTAAGGTAAATGATATGGCTTAGAGACAACTAGAACTTATCTGTATTTATCTATATAGGTCAAAGTCATTGGAAATTTCCAAAAATAAATACATGCTACATGATTATAATCACATGGCATGTCCTTACTGATTTCAGAAACAATCGCCTTAGATGTGTATATTAACAGCTTTTCTTGCCCCCAACAGGTTCTGAATCACTTTATATTCACCTATGTTGGAATTCTTCATAGGAAGACTAACATAAAACTGTATCCAATAATGAAAATACCACTCACATAGTACAAATCTAAATTAAGACTGAAGGTGAAGACAGATGTCCCCTTTAGGAAAAAATACCAGAGACTCAGAAATATGGTTTGGGTGCTGCTGAACAGATAGTTCTCTGGGGGGACACAGGACCAGGAAGTAACACCCTCCCACACCCCTGGCCACCAGGCTCAAACAGAATCTTCCTTCTTTCTTCTTACAAATATCAACTTTCCCCAAAATTCAGAGGTAAAGAGGAGGAGGTAGACATATGGAGCGAAAGAAAAATCTTTTTATAATTTGGCTATCATATTCTTATATGTCAAAAGAGATAGTTTTATGGGCGACAATTATATTCATGCAGTTTGGGGTTTCTACAATTTAGGATTGTAGGTCTTATAATTCAGGATTTCAGGGAACTTTCCTTCTCTTAGATTTTTATTTTAAGCTAAGTTTCTAGAACATCAATGTCCAGTGAAATACAGTGTAGCGATACTTACAAGTTTCAAATGTCTAGTAGTTGTGTTAGAAAAAGATGAATTTTAAAAATGTTTTATTTAACCCAATATAAAAAATACCATCATTTGAACATATAATCAATATTTTAAAGTGTTTTTTTTTAAAATATACTTTGAGAGACAGAGAGCAAGGCAAGGGCAGAAAGAGGGAGAGACAGAATCCCAAGCAGGCTCCACACTGTTAGTATGGATCCCAATACAGGGCTTGAACTCACGAACCGTGAGATCATGACCTGAGCCAAAATCTGGAGTCAGACATTTAAACAACTGAGACATCCAGGTGCCCCAGACATATAATAAATATTTCTTAAATTATTGAGATTTTATACTTTTTCCCCCTGTATTTAATCTTCAAAATCCGGTATGTATTTTATACTTTAAGCAGATCTTGATTCCAACTAGCCATATTTTAAGTACTCAGTAACACATGTGGCTAATAGCTACAGTATTGGATAGCAAAGTTACAGGCAGAGAAAAATATCTATGTAAAATAAACAAATCCATATATATTTACTCATTAAAATACATATACTAATTATCCTTATAATTAAAAAATTACAGCACCACATAAATTATAGGAGCCTTAAGATCATTTCTGTGGAAACTGATCCCTCCAAATGGATAACAGACTTTTCTGATCCTTAGTACCTGAAAAACAGAGATATTTCCAATGTCTTACCTGAAGAAAGGGCAGAGAATGCCTTGGGTTTGTATGAAGTGCTAATGAAGTTAAATGGAGAATTCTGATGGCTACACCATACCAGATAAATTGAGACAGAAAAAACTCTCCCTAGCCACAAATTACACTATCATAATAGTAAAGACCACAAAAAAGTATGTTCATAAAATTCATCTCCGTAGTGAGAAAGACTCCCACAGTAAGTACATATATATTCTAAAACTAAAGAAACTTGAAAACCTTTTAATGTGGAGGGAGGGATACTATCCAAAGGATGTACACTTTCCCTACAATCAGTGTGTTAAGAAGATCCAGGAAATGAGCAATGAACAACTAGGGAAGGTACAAGAGTGTGAAAAAAAGTTTGGTATAACTATTTAACTTTCTTAAACTCCAGATTTAAACTGCAGAGAAGTTCACTGGGGTAAAAAAGAGACATTTTCCTAATCTTAAACATCTGAGATAACTTTTACTTCTTCTCAATCACTGTTCACTGCCAAGCAAACCCAACGTTCCCAAAGTCTGACTTCTGAAGAAGGGTCTCATGTTTTGTGGACCTAAGGTACATACTGAGTATTTTATAGACTGATACCATATTTCTCTTTATTAAAGATTACTCTTTAATGCTATATAAAGATTTGAAAAAAACTTTTAAATGAAACTTTTTCTTTCTTCATTTTATTTTTTAAGTTGTTTTTTTTAAAATTCCAGTTAACATGCATTGTTACATTAGTTTTAGGTATACAAGATAGTAATTCAATAATTCCATATATCACCCTGCGCTCATCAACACAAGTGCACTTCCTAATCCCCATTACCTATTTAACCCACCTCCCCACCCACTTCCCTTCTAGTAACCAGCAGTTTGTTCTCTATAGTAAAGAGTCTCTTTCTCAATTTGCTTCTCTCTCTTATTTCCCTTTGCTTGTTTGTTTTGTTTCTTAAATTCCACATACAAATGAAATCATATGGTAATTGTCTTTGTCTGACTGACATTTCACTTAGCACTATACTCTCTAGCTCCACCCATGTTGTCACAAATGGCAAGATTTTAATAAAACTTTATCTTACTGATAATAGTTTGTCTTGTATAGTTACAATACTAATGATGAGAAAAGTTAGCTGAGGAACAGAATTGCTTAAGAATATTTTAATGTCTCTGACATCTACATGACACTTAACTTATATTTAATTCCAGTATGACAGATGGTGTGATCTGAGTTATAAAAGGCAGTTTATTCAGAATATTCCTATCTTGGCTAGTAATCACAGAAATTAAAGAGCCGGTATATGTGTTTATAAGAGAAATATAAAGAGATTCTATCTACTTGCGTTCAATAAATACTATGTGGTCAGATCAGACAAGAAATGGGGATCTGCTGTTATTTCTATTTTACATTTTATGTTAGTACATTACACAGATTTCTGGTATCAGTCTTTGAACTTAGTTTTTGCAAATGTGGATAAAAATATCTTCATGAGAGTACAGCCAGCAACCCAGAGAAACAGAACTTTCTACGGAATTTCATTATGTTTGCCATAAGTACTAACTCGCTCACTGTTGTAAAATTAAGTATCTATTACATAAACTAAGTATTCTATAATCACAGTTCTAGTTTTTAATGAGCTGAAAGTACCAACATTTCCTGGTTTATTTAAATACTTAAATGCGTACACCCTCCTTACATGAACATTTCACTTTCTTTAATGAAATCTCATTCCCGCTGGGGCTTTTGAGTAACAGAAAAGATTTAACATGAGGCTGAGGTATATACGAGACAGTAAACTTAAATTTTCATTTTAAGATGGCCAGCTGGAGTTAGCACGTGAATGTAAATATGCTTTTTGGAAAGAAGGGAGAAAACACGTGCTTAAACGGAGTGCAGTTATTTGATGCTAATCATAGATAATACACAGGTATTATTTTTTCCCCTAAAAAAGTTTACCTGTATATTTGCATCTCCCTTTATAAATTTTGCTCCTTCTATTATAGTCATATATGAAAATCTGAGTTGGTCTGGTGTCTGAATAAGTCCCATTCGATATTTTCTCATATTCAGTAACAGTTGTTTAATGTTAATATCATCTCCTTTTTCCATCTGCAAGAAAGGTAAAAATTATTCAAGCCTTCTGTTGTTAGAGTCTAGGGAAAAGAGAAGCAATACAGGATGGCTGCGAAGCACTGTACAACAGGCGGTGTGTGCCCCCCAAGAACAAGAAGTTACCACTGCAGCTGTAACTTTTTCCGTACAAAACAGGTACCCCAATCCACCATCACCCCCACTCATCAACTGTTCAAGCAGCAGGTGGAGGCCTTTAGCTGATATACAACTGATTCCAAACCAATCATAGTAATCTCATTCAGTTTGGCCAGTGTTTGTCTAAGGGAGGATCTATGGCCGGTTCTGACTTAATGTAAAGATAAATCCACTGAGATTAGTGCTCTTCTTCTTCTTTTTTTTTTTTTAAAGGTCTTGGCAGAAATATTTTTCTCCCTAGTGCCCTTCTGCCTTCAGGTCCGTGTCCAGCAGCCACCCAGAGAGGGTGAAGACAGAAAAAGCCAGATGCACTATGACACTGCTGAGTCCCTGCACCAGCCCTGGACTACAGATCTGGTTATTATAACTACCATATTCCTCACTCCAAATGAAAAAGAAAAAAGTGGAAGTTCTGTTTGGCAGGGAACAGGTACAAACACACAATCTGGTTTTTAATATTCACCATTAACTAAATAGACACCAGAGTTTTTAAGTAGGTCAAAGTTCACTTTAATGTAACAATCTAGCTTTCTTTTAAACATCTTTTTATTTTATTTTTAAATCAAGTATGCTCTATGCCCAACATGGGGCTTGAACTCATGACCCTCAAGATTAAGAGCTGCATGCTCTACTGACCGAGCTAGCCAGGTGCCATGTAACAATCCAGGTTTTGATTGAGATATGTTACATATAGACAGAGTGGTAAAGTAATACGGTAGGTATATTAAGACTCAACTATTCCTATTCTCTAGAGGTGCTCTCTACCCCAAGTAAGGAAACATGGATATTTAAAAAATGTCCTGTGTCCAGGCTGGGGCTGGGAATGCACTGGCAAGAAAGAATACAGTCCCTAAGGGCACCAATTGGAGTCTCTGGGGAATAACAGTACTAACATCTATTGAGTGCTCACAAAATATCAGAGACTCTTCGAAGTGTTCTAAATGTACTAATTCATTTAATATTCACAACAACCCTGTGAGGAAAACAGTGTCATTATTTTTAGTTTGTAAATAAGGAAACTCAGGCAAGAGAAATGAAGTGCTTGTCTGAGGAGGAAAGAATTCAATATTACATATCAATTTATATTTGAAAAACAAGGAAGGGGAGGCTTATTGTTTCTGTAAAATAAGCTACCAGGAAAAAAAAAAAATCTTCTGGGAGATCTCTGGAATCACCTTGGACAAGTCCCACCACTCACAAATAGGCAGTTCAAAGGGTATAAATGAGATTTGTTTAGGTTTTTCTGAAAAGAAGGCAGAAGTCTAAGTTTAAAGATCACAGTTCTGGGGTAGTGGCATTAGAGCTCACTTCTGCCAGTGGAAATAGTAAAAATTAAACAAGACTAAAATGAGATCATAAGAAGCACTTACCAGAACAAGACAGGTATCTACTAGAGAAAAGGTGCCTGACCGCCCAATGCCTGCACTACAGTGGATCACTGCAGGCCCGTGTTCAGGATTCAGGGAACCAGATTCTCTCACTTTAAATAAGAAATTGAGAAATGAAGCTGGTGATTCAGGGACTCCAAAATCTGGCCAGGTAGTATAATGAAAGTGAGATATTGTTCTGGTTTCACCACTCTACAAAGTGAAAATCAAGGGGGGAAAAGTTAGTTCTAATTTCTTTTCCTTAAAAAAAAAAAAAAAAAACTATTTCAGAGAGATTACGTATTTTGTGTAATGCTTTTAATCCTTATGGACTTTTGTACCATGATTTTTCGTTTGGTTTTTGATAATCGCTCACACAAGTTTGGAGTTCTTTAGGAGAGTTTGGAATTTATTAATAGCAGCTAACATTTCTAAAACATTATTTTGCAGGCACGTTCTAAGCTTTTTATGTATTAACTCAACCCATACAACAATCCTATTAAAACTCATTTTCCAGATGAGAAAAGAGGCCAAAGATTAAGCAACTGACCCAAGGTTGCAAATTTAGAAAACAGGAGACCAGAAGCTGAAGCAGCAGTCTGGGTTCTTAGCTACTAACCTGTACCATACATGTTGCCAGTATTTTAATTCATGTATCCTGATGAGTGGTTTTTTTCTTCTATTTTAAAAAAATCTCTATCAGTATAATTTTACACTCTTTAATGGTTTCCTTTTTAAGAACTCCCAAGATTTTTCAGACATAATTTTTCTCATTAAATGAGTTATCTTGTAGATTCTGCTACACAGGCTCAGAGAAGCAACTCAATAATTAATTTAAAGAAACAATCTTTACGTTTTTAATTGGAATTGCTCTTCTAATTGCTGCTCTTCCCCATGGTGATAATTTCCAATCCTAAAACTGTTTATATGACTTTGCTGATGTGCTAAAATGGTTTACCAATATGCTAAATGCTTCCTGTCTCTTAAAGCCTGCCTGGCATTCACGATCACTTCCTGGATATTCCTGATGAGCTTTATTTCTGACTAACTCATTATGAAAATGTTCCTAAGCTCCTGCCAGCTGCCTTTTGCCCCAAGGAGCACTTCAGTGCCTTCTAGTCTTTATTTCTGTAAACGAAGCAGTAACCCTCAAGCATGTCTCTACACAATTTCTCAGTTTCATTACAGGACGTTTTCGCAGGGAGAAGCCATATAAGCAACAATAAAAAAAGATATTTTTAATGGTTAAGAGCTAAAGATTATTATTGCAGCACTGTGCTTTGGGTACAAGTTTTCAAAATTAAAGTTAATTTTAATTTTTCAGAAAATGAATTTTCCTTTTTTTTTTTCAGTAGAGATTGAGATGCCTAAGTCCCAGACTTGTTTATATGAGGTATAACACTGATAGAATATAGTGCAGAAATTGTTTTTAAAATTTCAAATTACATACTTTTAGTGATTGATTTTTCTTAACATTCAGCTTTCATAATTCCAAATATACTCTGATCCACAGGCTCTCAATATACTGAAAGCACTACAAGATTTCTCTATCACTAATTAAAATGATCATTGGGATTACCAGATTTCAAATCATTTCCTTTTAAATTCGAGAGTAAGCCAGACCCTACAGGCTACATACTATATGATCCCACTGATATGACAGTATGGAAAAAGCAAAATTATAGGAATAAAAATCAGCTCAGAGGGTGCCAGAAGCTGGAAATGGGGTGAGGCTGACTACACAGGCAACCTGAGAAACTTTGTGAAGCTCACAGGGGGGAGGTGATGGAGCTGCTCTGTACTTTGCTGGGGGAGGGGTGTTATACAACTGAATGTACTGTCAAAACTCAGAACTATACACTAAAAAGATTACATCTTACTATATATTTTAAAGAGGAGGGATTAAATTTACTTTATTAAAAAAGATATTTAAAACACTCCAAATGAAGAAGGCTAAACTTCAGTTTCCTCTTACAAAGCCATAAATGGGCAGGTAACAACACAATACCAACACAGGAATGGGCTCAAGTGGCTGGTCTTAGAGCCCATGGCTAGCCCAGAGCCATAGAGAACTCAGTCACATTTTACTTTAAATAGGGTCTAAGATTTAAGTGGGAGTGTTTAGCCCCCTTTCCCCTTGACAACTGCCCTGCTGTGGTCATCTGCCACTATGCAGTGCTGACAGTGCACAGGAGGTTCAGACTTGGTCCATCTGAGCCTCAACCAGGTCCCGTGTGGACCTGCTGCAGCATCCAGGTCTGGGAGGGGTCGCACCAGAACCCCTCTCTCCTGCAAGCTGAGTTCTGCAGGGTGTGACCCAATGTTCCAACGTGGTTATATGCTCACTTACTGCATCACCTCCTGGCTCAAAACCTACAGTTAACCCACAATCCTGAGCGAATGCTTCCTTTTTCTTTGCTTGTATGATTTTTGGCAAGGCTAGCAGTCTCTCGATTTTTTTTTTTTTTTTTCAAATTCAGGTCATGCTGTCTGGGATACTCAAAGCCAGTTCCCAGAAATGTTCACAACTGTTTGTATGATGTAGTCTTCCCCACTAATAGATTTTTGAGAATCAGTCTTTTTCTTTCCCCTAACAGAACCAGATTAAAGAACTTCTTGAGAAGTTAATTTTTATTAATGTGCCCCTACCGAAACAAGATTCAAAATCACAACTCACAAAACTCATACAATTCCCAACAGACCACTTCGTGAAGCAATAAGATCCATATGCTTAGTACTGAGATAAAAAAGAAATGTTTATATGCTTGATTAGATCTCTCTTCTCTCTTCTTCATGTTGGAAAAAAAATGAGAGGAGGAAAAAAAGGACAGCCAAAGGCTAGAGAGCTAAAACACAATTCATATTTATTCCAAACAAGATCTACAAGTAGACTTTACAATTTTTGACAAACTCCTTATTTCAAAACTAGTGGAAGCACCCTTTTCTTCTCCCAGGTTACCAAATCACATCAGTCCACCTGGGCTGCCCAGCTGGCCTCTCATCTCCTCACTGTTGACCTCACACCCCACGCACACCTGGTTGCAACCGCAATTAGGTGGCTGTCCCCATCTCCATCCCGATGTGCATGTGCCTGCCAAATGTTCTCTGCAAAATGCTGCATGATGTACACTACACTGCAAAAAATGTCAGTGGTTCACTGCTCTTTTTAAGGCAAAATCTTATTTACAGTTTTTGAAGGAGAATTTTATCCTTGAAGAAGGATATCTAATTCATTATCTATGGAGGCCAGGAAGATAATCTGTGAACTGAATAGGTGTAAGACAATGGGGAACAGTTGGCATATGGCAATTTAAGTGTATGTTATCTAAAGCGATTCAAATTCAAGTTTAACTATTATTTTATACAGAGAGAGAAGAGTATAAATTTTCTAATTATTATGAAGAAATTTCTACAGCTCTTTGGTCCTAGGCACAATTATTTTCACACTTCAGGTATTTCCAGAAGTACCAAGATTATGTTCCCAGAAGACTTTCATTAGCCCAATTTTGTCATCTGTAAATTGTTACAAACAATACTTACCTCATAAAGCTACTGTGAGGAATAAATGAAACACTAAATGGAAAGTACCCAACCTATGCGTGCACATGGTAAATGCTTAACAGATACTTTTTCTGAAATAATTATACCAATTGCTTCTACCGTAGCCCCTAAAAATCTCCGATCAATTGTAAACCTCTCCACATTTTCAATGTTTTAGAAATATTTACTTAATATTTCACTTAATATTGCCTCTACACGAAGGAGTAGCAAAGTTTAGGAACCCTATCTCCTAAATACAGACTTTTTTTTTTATCAGATCTGTCTTAGTTCAGTCCCTCATCAATTTTTGCTAGGTTCATCACACAATCTGTATTAAAGATATAGTTACTGTAATTCATTTTGAAAGATGAACAGAACTCACCAGATCAGGAGGAGAGTAACAGAAACAGGTAGGGATGGGACTTGCATTCTAAGCAGAGAGAAAAGCAATACACAGAGGTGTGGGCCCCCAAGGAACAACCTATTTGAGAAGTGTACGACTGTTAGCAAGAACATATCCTGAGTTCCTGAAGGAGATGTTCAGGAGAAGGAGATGGAGGTAAACAAGGAGGAAGGACCAGGCTGGGCTGGGCCCTGGACTTCTGCACTGGCCACAGAAGGATTTAAAAAAAATTTTTTTTTTACGTTTATTCATTTTTGAGAGACAGGGCATGAGCAGGGGAGGGGCAGAGAGAGAGTGGGAGGGAGACACAGAATGTGAAGAAGGCTCCAGGCTCTGAGTTGTCAGCACAGAGCCCGATGAGGGGCTCGAACCCATGAACCGTGAGATCCTAACCTGAGTCAAAGTCAGATGCGTAACTGACTAAGCCACCCAGGCACCCCTGAGCAAGGTAAAGGGATCATGACTGTTTTAGAATACCACTCACCCAGTGCAATGCAGAGGGGAGCACAAAGTTATCAGGTAAGGACTCTTATCCATAGGGAGCTGAGAACCTTGTTATGGAGTCAAAGTAAATACATATACTGTAAAATGGTAAAATTCAAATTACGGAGAGAAGTGTAAGATCATAGCTGTCAGGAATGAGTGTGTAAGAGATAAGCTGAGAAAGACCTAAGTAAGGAACGGGCCACAAGGTGGTACCGAAGGATGTGCAGGATATAAACAGGCAGAGAAGAGAAGATGACATTCCAGGTGGGATAAATTGTTTAAACTACTTTGAATCAAATCCCAGGTGAGCATCATACTAATTAGGCACTCATCCTGTTTTGGGCAACTCTACAGGGACAGAGAAATAGAAGGCAGCCAGCATTACAACAGTATTCCTGGAACTTGATAAACATAAAGCTGGCCAACAATATTATGGAAAATAATGAAGGGCAACTAAAAGGAAAATCCTCAAAGACAAATAAGCACTCTACATCACCTTATATTTTAAAAGCCCTACAAAACCTTCTCTGTAGCTCAAGCCACAGGGCCACTTTAAAAGCAGAGATGGAATCTCTTGATTCAGGGGCAAAAATTCAAACTCTCAGCTCTGACGAAGACACTAGGAAGCACTACTGGTGTGTGGCTCTACTGCTCTCTTAGACCAGAGGTCTCTAAAAGAGTAGGGCCCGCACAGACAATAGCCCTGGCCTCAGATTTGTTAATACATACAAGTCACACTCCTTTAGAAGCAAACTGGTTCTCTGCAGCTCAGGGAATGGTAAAATTCAAATTATGGAGAGAAGTGTAAGATCATAGCTGTTGTGAGGTGAGGGTGAGGTGGCTCAGAGTGAGGTGGGCGACCACTCACCTACTGCATTATCACCTTTCTCTGTCCTTTGGTATTTGTCTCCCTCAGCTTGTTCTTGTCAATTGCCCTTGCTCCTGCAGTCCTTCCCAACTAAATAATATTACAAAGGCAACAGATACACACAACTAATGCTAATAATTATGACTCCTGCACAGAGTCCTAGGCCTATTACAGCATTAACTCACCTGATCCTTATAGCAACCCTATGAGGTATGTGTGTCCTTATCCTCATTCTGTAGATGAGAAACTGAGGCACAGGGAATATGTAAGTGGGACCAATCATACAGCCAGGATTGGTAGAGCTGGGATTTAAACTCAGACCATCTGGTTCCAGAGCTGAAATACCTAGCCAAATGCAATTCTGCTTCTCACACTGAAATGTTACTTTATTCTTCTAACATTCCTAGCTCTTACCAAAGACTGTGAAGTAGGATGTAAACATAATAGTGCTATTAATTATGGTAGACTCTGAACCCAGGCCAATAGGAAATCTCACAGTTGTTAGCAACTAAAACACAGTTTTGGCTAGTGGTTAGCCAGTTCACATGCTGGCCTCAAATCCAGAAAGATGCCTTAGAACCAAAAGTTTTCCTTTACTTTGGCAATTCATACTTTTTTCAAAAGACTTAGCCCCATGTCATTACAAGTCAGGAGATTTGGATTTGAGTTCTAGAACCTGTCACTTATTAGCTGAGTAATCAATCGATCTCCAGAAAAATTCCTATAACCTAATGGACTTTAGGTTTTTAAAAAAATACATGAAATACAGATATTAAGAATATCTACTCTATGAAATTATAGGAGGAATATGGGTCAAATGATATATATGTAAACGTGCTTTGCAAAATGATAAAATGCAAAAGTCTATTTATACCTCACATATTTTATTATGTGAGGTATACTCAACTCTTAATTAGGATAGGTTTCAGAAACAGGGAAAAACATCTATGACCCTCTCTGTCCAAATTAATTTTAATGCCAGAAGCAGATGAGGTACTTGGGATAAATACCAAGAGAAGATGAGTCAGAGAAGTATGAGAAGTTTATGGAAAAGCAGTTCTGTTTCTGGGAATCAGCACTGCACAATCTAGTATCAAACAGTTATTGATGTATCTCAGGGCAACCTAAGACATATGTAAATGGAAGAGCTGGTGCAAAGTAACTACAGTAAGGGAAATTTATAAATAAATCTAAGCCTTGTGAGTCCCAACCCTGAGACTTCTTAGATAACCTAAGCAATCACATGAAAAGCTTAGTGATGGATGTCATGGGAAGTTGGGCCTGGGCCCTAAGCACAGTTTGCACCTCTGCTTAGAGTGGGCAGCAAAAAACAGAGGGGTTCCAGGAGATCAACTATACAAGGTATTTCTACATAACTAAAAGTGTGTGTGTGTGTGTGTGTGTGTGTGTGTGCGCGTGCGCATGCAAGCGTGCACGCGTGAGTGCACTTTATATATCCCTTCTCTTCTCTATAAAGCTTTTTTTTGATCAATGATCACACGTTAATCACTTAATTCAGTTAATGGTTAACTGAAACAGATATACTCCTGAAATTATTTTTTGGCAAACATTTTCCTATTTACTAGTTTTCCTAGCTCCTAAGAGCATCTCAGAATCACTCTCATTTCATATTTCCCCATTATCCTGATCACAGCACAAAGGCAAAACCAGGAGGTGGTAAAAGGGGGTAGAAATGTACTGATCCTCAGCTTGACAGCAGCAGGCTCACAATCCACCAGCACACGTATCTCAACCAAGAAATAAGAAACAATTCTTAGATTTCTGGGAAAGATCCAAATAAATATTCTTGAGATCATATGTTAAACTTATTTCACCATTTCCCTCAAATTTCTCTGTGGTGAAATCATTCAAATGAACAACATTCCGGTAAGTTATTTTCGTGAATAGCCTGCTACTCTTGCAAGTACCAAGTGCTGCAGTGTTTACTGGGCACCTAGTCTGCATCAGGTGCTTTGCGTACACATCTTCATTTGATCGTCACGACAGCCCTGAAAGGGAGTTATTATAATCTCCGCTTTACAGATTAGGAAAGGATGAGGGAAGCTGAGAAACAGGTCCCACAGGACATTTAAACTCAACAACAGAGCTGGGATTTGAATCCAGGTTGGTCTGATTCTAAAGCTCTCTCTCTTAATCCCCAAGAAATTTTAATAAATTATCTTCAATCCTCATATATCAAGCTGAACTTTAAAATTCTTAGTTTCTAGATTTTCTCAAGAGTCCTCAGAGAGCTACCACATATACAAAACACAACAATTATGATTATATACTATAACAGATAATAACAAAATGTATGTGCAGCCCCAAACTTCAAATCTAAGGACAAAGAATAATTCTGAAAACCAGCATATAAGGTCCCATCTTTAGGGCATGAAAAGTCTTACATTGATATTTTCTAACTGGAGTAGATGTACTGTATAATATGACTTCACATCTTCTGACAAGAACTTCACACTGAATCCTGTTTCTTTAAATAGCATCTCTCGGTCGTCTTTTGTTGGCCAGTACTGTGCACATTTAACCTAAATTTAAGAATATGTTATTAGTTTATAGACATTATGAAACCGTGAAAAGCTGGGAAAGGAAGACAAACCACACACATTCATGCCATATTTTTTCCATGTACCCAAATCTATGAACAGTTACACTATATTTGTTGCTTAATGTATTTTAATAAGATTGACATTTTTATAAAAGCAGGTTTATACAATGTTCCTGTAACTTTTACTAAAAAAGCCATAAACAGGTAGGTATGTTCATAAAATAAAATGAGTCTGTCATTTTGAAAGCACGATCACCTAAAGTTTAACATCATATTGGCATTCACTTTACATTCTGAAAAGTATCAACCTCTTGTAGGAATCTTTTTTCAAGCAGTATTGAAAAGGCTTTATTTTACAAGTATTTTCTAAAAATACCTATGAATCTGCTACTAAATACTACCTATTCTAGAAATAACACTGTATGTTAACTTACTAAAAGGAAGTCAGAGGAGTGAATCAGAAGATAAGCTCTCTCTACCTAGAGTTGTCAGATTTTGGCAGAACTACTGAGATGGAATTCCTATTTGTGACAATAAAAGCATCTTCCCCAAAGCCAAATTATGAAGACAGCAGACTGAGGCAAGATGAGATAAAGAGCCACTTCATTAGGAAAAAGACACCAGAAAAACAACCTTATAAAAATATGGTTATTTCTCCCTTTCCAAATCACAAAAACAGCTACAAATCACAAACAGTAACAATACCCACAAACAAATGAATACTATGAGCTGGTACTTTCAAAGGTGCTAAAAGACATTTTAAATATGATACAAGAAGTGAAAGTGTAAATCAGAATGAGAAAAACTCAGAAACGAGGTGATAGGAAACAGGAAAAAAAAAAAGGAATCAAAAAACACATCATTTCCAAAATGAAGACTAAATTCAAAGGAAAAGAGGTGTGAATATATGCAGCAGATACTGTCTTTGGACAATAAAAGAAGAGAAAAGGATGACATTTCTGAAATAAAGATGAAGAGAGAGACAGGATTTGAGAGAAAGTGACAATAAAATAAGCAAAGAAAATCTAACATGCATAATTGGAGAACCCAAAGAAGAACACCAAAGCAAGCAAACAGTAAATATTAATTAAGTATAATCAATACATTTTTCTTTAAAAGTCACATAATGAAAGACCACACTTGGAAAAACCTGAACCAGAATGACCAACACTAAGACATATTTTGGTAAAATTAATGGAGTTTAAAGAGAAAAAATACTTTGGGTAACCTAGATAAAACAAAAATAAAAATAAAAGCAAACAAAAAACTCATGTGACTTAAAAATAAGATGTCCAATTGACTTTGGCAGTAATCTGTAATGCCAGAAAGAAATGGAGTAATGTATTTAAGTTGCTCAAAGAAAAACAAATGTGAGCCAAGATTTTATATCCTGCCAAAGTGACTTTTAAGCATTAGACAGCAGATAAACTGTCATCGACAGGTAAGAAATGAAGAACTCTAATGCCCCTGAGTCCTTCCTTAGGATCCACTAGAGAATGAGCTATCAACAGGACACTGGGGAGACAGCAACAAAACAGTCCATGAATATTAAATATATATTTACATGTAGAACTGAGAAGTTAAAAGGGATGTAAGAGAATATAGTATGTTACATACTCTGCAAATGTAGGTAAAGCACAACTTAAAAAACAAAAGAGGGAAAAATGTAAACTTGTTTAGTAATTACTTTGGTAATGGAGTTGATACTCTATGAGTATTTCTGGTGTGTAATATAGAACAAAGTTAATGAGTCATTATAAGATAGTCTTTATCTGCAGTGTCTTTGAGAAGCAGGATTCATGCTATGGCAAAAGAAGATAACAGATATAAGGTAAAAGGGTTAAGGTAACCCCTACAGTTCTAAATTTGAATCGGAAGTATCATTATGAACCCTTGAAGTATGTTATCTAACTCACAAACATACTTTTTTCTTAGCTCTCTTCACCGAAAACGTCTAAAAACAATGACCAGCCCAGCATCGGTAAACATCCCTATTTTTATTGTCATCATTGCCCATTAAAAGAAACCAAGACTAGGGGTTCCTGGGTGGTTCAGCTGGTTAAGCACCGACTTCGGCTCAGGTCATGATCTCACACTTTGTGGGTTCAAGCCCCACATTAGGCCCTGTGCTGACAGCTCAGAGTCTGGAGTCTGCTTCGGATTCTATGTCTCCCTCTCTCTCTGCCCCTCCCCTGCTCATGCTCTGTTTCTGTCTCTCAAAAATAAGTAAATGTTTAAAAAAAAAAATAAAAGAAACCAAAGCTCCTTAGAGAAATGGCTGACTCTATGAAGAAGAGGTTAACATGAGCCTGCAACAAGTAGTCATTCCAGATATTAAGAAACTTATTAAAGCCTCTTTGGTTTTGACTCTTAGGTTTCTGACTCAGAGCCCAACTTGAAGAGATTTTTGCCAACCAGTGGAGGGATAATTTGACTACTAATAAGGATAATAAGTGCAATGGAGTGAAATGAATCAAAAATGTTTGAATCTATGAGTTCATAATAATTGATGAACACAGACCCTGCCCCCACACACAAAAAAAACCTAACTGGTCACCTACTGAGGACACTAGGAGATCAACTCTATTTTGAAAACTGCTTTCCCTATATAAAAGTGGTCAACTAACTAGAATGGAAGTTTCTTTTTATTTAAGTATTCGAACAGAAATTCAAGAAGGCATGATAAAACTGAAGTATCACTATTTCATAACCCCTAATTAATTAAGGAACTAAGTAAGCACTGACCAGTAATGACCACTAACACCATAAAAAGACATTATGGGTCTCTTCATAAACAAAGTAACACCACCCATGAAATAATCTTCCCCCAAAATATTAAATCTGAATCTTATTAAGCATCTAGATCCAAGCACCATAAATTTGATTTCTAATTTCCAGAGACAGCCTAATCTTGTTAATACAGTAATTATACTCCAAAAAGAGAGATAAAACTTAAAGTCATCTAGTTTGCAATGCTGCTCAAACTGTTCAAACAATGTCATTATCACTTAATTTTTAAGTTACACGGGAAACCATGAAAAAGCCACCATAAATAACTATGCCAACATTGCTGAACATTCTGGTATGCCACTGTCATTTCAGATGAGAAAGATAGTCGAATAACTAGTACCATCATTAAAAGCCACCAACTATGAATTTAGAAAAAAGTAAGAATCAGGGATCTGAGAAGTATAACAGTCCAAGATCTTAAGGCTGGTAGAGACCTTACTGACAATACTTTCCAATTTGGCTTCTTTGACAGAAAAAGAACCTAAAGCTACAAAAGTTAAAGACTTAATTATGAGTACTTGTTCAGACTGTACCTCAAGTTTTCATAAATTTATACATACCCACACTTATACACGTAAATGTAGATGTGTCTCATGACCTAACAGCCAATTAAAATTTATAAACATTAAGAAAAAACTCTGTTACTTTAGGGGTGCCTGGGTGGCTCAGTTGGTTAAGCGTCCGACTTCGGCTCAGGTCATGATCTCACAGTTCGTGGGTTCAAGCCCCACGTCGGGCTCTGTGCTGACAGCTAGCTGAGAGCCTGGAGCCCGTTTCAGAATCTGTGTCTCCCTCTATTTCTGCCCCTCCCCTGTTCACGCTATCTCACTCTCTCAGAAATAAATAAAAAACATTAAAAAAAATTTTTTTTAATTAAAAAGAAAAAAAACTGTCACTTTAATCTTTTACAAAAATGTCAAGATTTTCATAATAATAAATTATAAAAATTATTTTTATTAAAGTTTATTTATTTTGAGAAAGTGTGTAAGCAGGGTAGGGACAGAGAGAGAGAAGAGAGAGAGAATTCCAAGCAGGCTCTGCACTGTCAGCGCAGAGCCCAACGAGGGACTCAAGCCTGCAAACTGTGAGATCATTACCTGAGCTGGTATCAAGAGTCGGATGCTTAACTGAATGAGCGACCCAGAAGCCCCAGTAAATTATAAAAATTCTAGTAAAGCCTAGGGATTCCAAAGATTTATGTATCACTACTGGTCAATATTTGTTTCATGACATTTACATCTCGGAGGGTAGTGGTGTGCAGTTGTCACCTAAATGCTTATGTCAAGAAAGGAAAAGGACATACTAGCGCTCTTCTGGTCAGAAACACCCTGACCTCTAGGCTTCAGCAATTCAAGGCCAAAACTAATGAATGAATCAATATCCCAAAAGAAATATGAAAGCATATGTAAGCTAACGATACAGGCAACACACCAAGTTGTAAATATTAAGTATTACTCACCGATTCTTTCTCCACAACTCGGTTTAGCATGACAACTGCCTTGGTCTTTTGCTGCCAAACCATGAGCCAGAAATGGCAACCTGTATTAGGAAGTGGACCCTGTAAGATCAGACAAGAAAAAGTAGGGTTAAGAGATGGGAGATGGAACAAGGCTCAAAGAAAATTCCTTCAAGTATGTTTCCTGTTTAAAATAGTCTATTGGATCGTAATAAGTAAATCATGACTTTAAATCCATTTGAGTTAAAAAAGAAAACGGGTCTGTACTAGTTGTTTATAAATGATCAAAACTGACTTTAATTTACTTAGGCAGGAAAGGAATTTTTCAGGCTATGAGATGACTTTCACTGTTGAGGGCTGGAGAGCCCGGCTTTGGTAGGAACCGATGTCAAGGCAAGATTCTGCTCAAAGGAGTCAGCCTGGGACAGTGCTCCTGACACTGATACTCCTTTCACCTTGTTTTGCTGGCATCGCCATACTAAGGTGCATTCATTCATAATCTACATTCATGCATAATCTACAAAGAAACCAGAGTCCAAATCACGGGCAGATGTATAAGACTGATCATGTTCTAGCTGCAAAGGAGGTAGAGAAAGGAAATTTCTGTCCCCTTCAGCTTTCACAGCAGGAAGAGAGGCCCTGTCATGGATCATGGCAGTCTTACAACAGAAGAAATCTGTGCCATCACTAGCCAACCAACCACCCCAAGTTAACTAGAAAAAGAATTCCAGAAAAACCAGAAATCTCAAAGAACATGAACCACTACAAAGCTGTTAATCTACAAAAACCACAGCATGTACAATCTCAATAGCAGATTTAAAAGGGGCAATGGTTCATAGTACAACATTGCCATTGGGGAAAAAACCAAATCATATTATGTACTTCTAATTATCTTCACATTTTGCTTAATGGTAGCACAGGGCAGAAGTAAGGGCAAATAAGAGATGAAAAGGCCATGGCCAAATTGTAACTAATTTTAAAGGTGAAAGTGAGAGGTTGTACTGCAGCTAATAAGTCAGCACGCATCCCTTTCATGGGGCAGAGTGACGGGCAGCATCAAGGGGCTGGAGGCCAGGTGTCCTGGAGCATCAGTTTCCCATGTCAAACAAGATGACTCAAGTGGTTTGAGGCTGAAAGCATCTTTTGGGCAGTTGTATTCCCTAGTGTACAGCAGATGCTCTGAAATATTATTTGAATTAATAAATTCTAAGCTTCTGAATTATAAAAAGGCTAGAAATCTACTCGAATCTTGAGAAACTGCAACCAAATGTTTGAAGACATTGTTGTCCACAGTGCATACTATCTACTTGAGCTACTCTAAAACAAAACAAAGTGTAAAGATAAAAAAGAGCAATGAGAAAATCCTCAGTAAAATGAATGCCCTTTCTTTCATCTAAAAAAAGAGAAATGGATCTATCAATTTACCAGAGAAGTCACACCTTTCATGTATATACACACAAAAAACCAAAATAGGCTCCACGGGTGGTTCAAAACAGAAGGAGGGTGGGTTTATCGCTCAGTTCTTCCATCTACAAGCAATACTATCAATTTTTTAAAAGTCTTTTTTTTAAGTTTATTTGAGAGAGACAGAGATAGCATGAGTAGAGGAGGGGCAGAGAGAGAGAGGGAGAGAGAGAGAATACAGGCAAGCTCTGCACTGTAGGCACAGAGCCTGACAGGGCTTGAACCCACAATCCATGAGATCATGACCTGAGCTCAAACCAAGAGTCAGACACTTAACCAACTGAGCCACCCAGGCACCCCAATACTATCAATTTTTTCTGCAAAGTGGAGATTTAGACCAAGGACTGATATATATATTTTTGCTGTTGTTATTTTTAATTCAAAAAACTCAGAAGGAAAAGATGACAAAAATAATAAGCAACAAAGGACTATCAGAACAGCTAAGGTTTTAATAAACATACAGCATCTCTAGTTTTCTCTGTCCTTTAAAATATTCTCAGCCTTCAAAGAGCTTACTAAGTAAGGAGGCAAGGAGAAGTCCTTGCCCTACTAAATGAAACATATCAAGTGCCCCAAGAATTAGGGGTAAACCATCAGATATTCAGGAGTAGGAAGGATGCTACTGCAGGGCCTTAAAAATGATGAGGGCACTGATTCAGGGAGGGGTCATGGGAAGATGGGGAGGAAGTCAGGGTACGTTCCAAGCAGAAGGCAAGACACGTGCAAGTTCAGGGCAAAACACTCAATGAGGATGAAGTGGAAGTATGGAAGTGTGTAGGAAACCCCACCTGCAAAGTGAACATAGGAAACAGTCACCAAAGTTTTTAAGAAGTAAAGTGGTATGATCAGATTTGTATGTTACAAAAATAATTCTGGTGGCATTGTTAAAGATGGATTAGGATGGGAGGGACTGGTGGCAAGGGAACAAGCTAAAAAGCTGCTGCATTAGGATTCAGTACATGATGAGGGCAGCTTTAACCCAGGTGAGAAAAACAGGAAGGGAGATAGCTTGGTTAAAAGGAGAGAGAGAGAAAGAGAGAGATGTAGAATATGAAGAATTTGCCATGTCAATGAGTCATCTGGGTAAAAATATCCAGTAAAGACCTAGAAAATATAGGGTGGAAATTCACAAAAGCATAAAAAAACTGAAACAGTCTTCTGAGTCTCCCAGCTCTGAATGTGTGAGATTCTGTCAGGACATGCACAGCAGTCCAACAGGGACAGGATGCTTAAACACAATTAGGAAGGCATTAATCAGGCATTTTTTTATTGTTATGGGATTTATAATATTTTATAAGAGGATTATTATTATCATCATTACTACTACTGATAATAAAAAGTAATAACAAATGCCACAACAAACAGTCACTGGGGGGCTTACCATAGTACCAGGCACTATAAGAGTTTTGTTCAACATCATTCCATAGATACATAGATAATATATCAATAATAAAGACATATACTCAGGCTTGGGGAATTAGGTAGCTTGTCCAAGGTCACATGGCAATTTTATTATGCTAGTAGAGGTGAATGATTAAGAGCATGACCCATGGTGCCAATGGAGCTTCAAATTCTGGCTTCAGGTCACTTCTTGAATGACCTTGGTAAAGCTGTTTAATGTTCCTGGTCTCTTTAGATGATTCCTCATGCATAAAATCAGAGTGATGGCAGTATTTACCAGAGAGAGTTAGCCTGAGCCTTAAATCATACAAAACACAAAGTACAGAACAATGTTACAAAATTCCTAGCTCTTATTAATCTTATCCCCCACTACAATGTAAAGTTCATAACAGCCTTTTTACTTAATGGCTGTTTTATTTAACAATGCCTACCACATAGTAGGTACTCAAATAAATCTTTGTTAGATGAATGAACACCCAGTGAAGCAGCAGGACCAGGATTTGGGCACAGATACTATGAATCCAGAGTCCAAATTCTCTAAAGATACAAAGGTTGAACATATGTTTCCAGAGAGTTTGAAGTCTTGAGTGTTAAACTGAAAAGGGGGGGAAATACCTAAATCAGAATCCTGAGATACACCTACAGAATTTGGACTACAATAAGAAGAACCAATAAATGAGACTGGAAAAGGGAGAAAGAGAGAAAGAGAGGGTTGTGATAAACAGGGATCTAGACTAATTACTCTTTTCTATTTTTGAACATTATAGTTTTTTCAAATAGAAAGTAAATTGGAATTCTAAAAATGAGTTTATTAAAAATATCATGAATGCTCATAAGAAAAATGCCAGATATTACAAAAAGGCAGGAAATGACTTTTTGTCTATTTATTCCTAATTCTTAGAAGTAACCAATATTAATAGTATACGTACAATTTATTTAGCCAGTCCCTCACAGATTATTTCTAGTCTGATGCTATTAAAATTAAGTTTCAATAAACACCCTCACATGTATCTTTATGTCCATACATATTTAACCACTGAATATTATGAACTTTTAAATCTCTGCTGTCCTAAATGGTGAAAAGCGGTTATTAAATTATATTCCCTCATGAATAAAAATACTGAGTATCTTTTCATGTGTATATTGCCTACCTTTATATTCTTCTTTGAACTGTGAATTTATGTTCTTTGCCAGTTTTTTTTTTTTTTTTAATTTAGATTGTTTCTCTTTTCATTTTTGACATACAGGAGCTGTTTCATTTTATTTAAAATAATTAATTTTCATTTCCTGTCAACGAGAAATAGTCTAATAGAATATCTTTTTACTATATGAAACTGTTTTCTCTTTTAAAAATTTTTTTTTTAACGTTAATTTTTGAGAGACAGAGAGAGACAGAGCACAAGCAGAGGAGGGGCAGAGGGAGAAACACACACAGAAACTGAAGTAGGCACCAGGCTCTGAGCTGTCAGCACAGAGCCCAATGCGGGGCTCGAACTCATAAACCTGGAGATCATGACCTGAGCCAAAGTTGGACACTTAACCGACTAAGCCACCCAGTACCCCAATTCTCTTTTTTGTTTTTAATGTTTATTTGTTTCAAGGGTGGGATGAGCAGGGGAGGGACAGAGAGAGAAGGGGAGAGAATCCCAAGCAGGTTCTGCACTGTCAGCACAGAGCCCAAAGCGGGGCTTGCTCTCACAAACCATGAGATCATGACCTGAGCCGAAATCAAGAGCCAAACGCTTAAAAGACTGAGTCACCCAGCCGCCCCTGTTTTCTCTTTCAATAACAAGTTATTGTGATCCACATTTTTAAAAATCTCAAATATTATGAACATTCAGCTTATATTTAAAATTTAAAAATCATTAACTGAGAGATATAGCAGCACTGTTCATTAAGTCTCTGTCATCTGATAAAGGGAAGCTGGTGTGAATAAACCAAAATACTTTTTATTATCTAAGAATGGAAGAGTCGTGCTGGAATATAGGTGTGGCCAATGTGCCAAGAAGCAATCAGGCAGAATGCCAAAGGGAACCGTTATGTTCTCTGGCTTCCTAGCCAGTATTCTGGGCACCTGGTCTTACCACCCTCACTCCGAACAAAGGGCAGATACCCATTGAAGACACATTCAAATTCTCTGAAACTATATGTCAGAGAAGTGGGTCAAGAAGGGCTTTCATAGGGCCTCTGATTATGATACAAGTTATGTGAAGAGAACTTAACAGCATTAACAAATGATTTGTGTCAACGTAAAGCAAGGAAGAGAATTTGGCTGAAAAGAACTGGCTTAAGCCATTTCATTAAAAACACTTCCCTTCTTGGAACGTACAACATTAAAAAATTATTTTCATGTTCACATATAAACCCACAAAACATTAAAATGTCTACACTCTACTACATAAGAACAGAAAAAACCAAAACAGTGTTTCATTTCCAAAAGAAGTAAAGGCATACTTTTAGCTATGTTTCAAAGCAGACCAACCACAAAAGCTGCATTGCCGAGTATCTGCTCGACACCGTTATCACTTGCCTGTGTTAAGATGTAACTCCTTTTCGCCTCTTCTATGTCAACTAAACTGGCATTAATATAATCATTTTCAGCATTTTGCAGTTTAACACGACTGTGATCATCTGAAATAGAGAATGATAAACCATAATTGTCATTTCAAATTTCTCAGTTTTTGCTTTGATATTAATGTTTTAGGTATTTATAAAATGGTAAAAGAAACAAAAAAAGAAAAATAGCACCACAAGAGAGTTGCATCAAGTCCTAAGTTATTCCTTTTTTTGGAAGTATAAAAATGAGATCTTTTTGCTTCTTACTGTGGTACTGGAAATGCTTTTGTTTGTAGTAGGTAAGCTATTGTAACTAGAAAAATTGACCAAAGAGTAAAATATAGTAAAAGGAATAAAGCACCTACCTTCCTAAAAGTAAAAGGACCATTTAGAATCGTGGGGTCTAAGAACTGATAGATCTGCCAACAATAAAGAAAACTGGCCTCAAATAGATGACTTGATTTCCATGGTAACTACATTTGCTTCATTCCTCAATAGATCTGCATTCAGGGCGCCTGGGTGGCTTAGTCGGTTAAGCGTCCGACTTTCCCTTAGGTCATGATCTCGCGGTTCGTGGGTTCGAGCCCCACGTCGGGCTCTGTGCTGACTGCCAGCTCAGAGCCTGGAGCCTGTTTCAGTCTGTGACTCCCTCTCTCTCTGACTCTCCCCTGCTCATGCTGTCTCTCTCTCTCTCTCCTAGAAATAAATAAAAATATTAAAAAAAAAAAATAGATCTGCATTCAACTATATTTAAATAATTTTTAGTACTTAACTATATTTAAATTAAGTGCTAAAAGTATTTAAATACAGAGAGAATATTCTAATTTTTTTTAAGTAGGCTCCATGCCCAACATGGGGCTTGAACTCACGACCCTGAGACTGAGTCATATGCTGTATGACTCCAGACTATTCTAAATCTTTATAAGACAACTAAAGATGCCTCATTACGTAGACTATTATAGCACAACAGATAAACATATCTAGTTTAGATATATTTCTAACTTTTAAAAATAAAAATTTCACCATCTGCAACAACATGGATAACTTAGAGGGTAATACACTAATTGAAGTAAATCAGGCAAAAAAAGAAAAAAAGACCATATGACTTCATTTATATATGGAATCTAAAAAATTAATAAAACAAACAAAAATCAGAAACAGACTCATAAATACAGAGAACAGGGGGGCCTGGGTGTCTCAGTTGGTTGATCATCTGACTCTTGATTTCTGCTCAGGTCATGGGATCAAGCCCCGTGTCAAGCTCCACCCTGAACATGGTGCCTGCTTAAGATTCTCTCTCTCCCTCTCTCCCTTCTCCTCTGCTCATCTTCTTTCTCCCTCTCTAAAATAAAATTTTAAAAAATTTAAAATTTAAAAAATTCAAAATTCAAAATAGTAAGATTAATAAAATGAATAAAATACAGAGAACAACCGGTGGTTGTCAGAGAGAAGGAGGGTAGGGAGATGAGTGAAACAGATGAAGGGGATTAAGAGTTACAAACTTCCAGGGTGCCTGGGTGGCTCAGTCGGTTGAACATCCGACTTCGGCTCAGGTCATGATCTCATAGTTCGTGAATTCAAGCCCCACATTGGGCTCTGTGCTGACAGCTCAGAGCCTGGGGCCTGCTTTGGATTCTGTGTCTCCCTTTCTGCTCCTCCCTCACTTATGCTCTGTTTCTTTCTCCTTCAAAAATAAATTTTAAAAAAAAATTTTTTTTAAGTTACAAACTTCCAGTTATAAAGTAAGTAAAAGTCACAGGGATGAAAAGTACAGCACAGGGAATACAGCCAATAATATTGTAAAAACTTTCTCTGATGACAAATGGTAATTACACTTAATGTGGTGAGGCTTTCAAAATGTATATAAATGCTGAATCACTATATTGTACACCTGAAGCTAGTAATAATAATATATGTCCATATACTTTAGTTAAAAAAAAAGCAGGCCTCAAAATTAAGAAAACATATTTACAGCGTATACAACCAAAGAAGCATTAAGATACAAAGAGTACCTACAGATCAGTATGAAAATGACAGAGGCCCCATTTTAAAAAATGAACAAGGACAATACACAAAAGATTAATAAATGTGAAAAACATTTTTTTAAAATATTTTTATTTATTTCTAGAAGAGAGAGAGAGACAGCATGAGCAGGGGAGGGTCAGAGAGAGAAGGAGTCACAGACTCTGAAACAGGCTCCAGGCTCTGAGTTGGCAGTCAACACAGAGCCCGACGCGGGGCTGGAACCCACGAACCGCGAGATCATGACCTAAGCGAAAGTCGGACGCTTAACCGACTAAGCCACCCAGGAACCCCCAATGTGAAAAACATTTATTTAATCTCACTACTAATCAAAACATGCAAATTAAAATGATTTTTTAATTAAAAATTTTTTGTAAAGGTTTTTTTTCCCCAAAAACCTTTTGGAAGTGCTGCCCAGGCCATGACTAACCCCTTAGTAAGCACCAGATAAGACTATGTAAGAGAATTTTCAGATGCCCGGTTTACAGGTGTAAACTCTTTAAAATCCAAGGTTTCCATTTCTGTGAATGATGGTAAACAATGATAGCCAGAGATAAAAACAGTTCAATAGTAACACACACACACACACACACACACACACACACACACACGGGGAAATAATACAAATTTCCAAAATGCCTAACAGGTAAATTACAGTATATATGAAAGATGTACTACTTTAATGAAACCATTAAAAATCATGCTGGGGGGGGAGGAGTAAAAATCTCAAAAGATTTAGAATTTATGCCAATTTAAATATGTGGACTACAAAACCTCACCTTGTATCATTTTTTTAATGTTTACTAATTTTTGAGAAGAGGGGGAATGGGACAGAGAGAGAGGGAAACAAGGATCCTAGGCAGGCTCTGTGCTGACAGCAGAGAACCCAATGCGGGGCTCAAATTCGCAAACAGTGAGATCATGACCTGAGCCTGACACTTCACAGACTGAGCCAGCCCCCGGGCACCCCAACCTTCTAGCATTTTGATAGAAAAGGAGGAGAAGCTTTCTCAGGGACAAAAGTCATGTGCATACAACAGAATTAACACTGGCTTAGTATCCTAAATATACAACTGTCAGAAGCAAATAACTGAATTATAAACTGAACATATGTTTGATGTTTAACTCTGGAGATTACACTCAATTTAAGCTGCTCCCCTGAAGGAAATCTACACTAAATGTCCTTTCTCTCCCCACTTTTAAACTAAAAAAAAACTGTTCACATGGTCTCCATATGAAAGAAAATGTTAAATGGCTACAGTTTCACACATCAATTTATCTGAGCTGTTTCTGCTGGACTGAACCCAAGACCTCTGTAAATATTACATGTCATTTGCCAACAGGAAAAACTAAGATCTTGTTATAGTAAATCACTTATACTAGTGTTCTCGGAAAGATGATGTCAGCAAGCACTTTTTTTTTTTAAACAGTCACTTTTTTTTTTTAACAGCTTAATCACCCTTTAACTGTTAAATTATGTGAGATGGTAAAAAGGTCAGCTACTTAATTAGCAAAATAAAGACCACAAATCTCCTGTAAAACATATATCAGGAGAATGTATGCTTTTAGAATGCTACACAATCCCTAAAATTCACGTTCCACTAAAATATAATACTAAAGGAATGTATTTCCTCATGTTGTAATCACAGAAAACACAAACCCCAAGGGTTAATCATATCTATTGCACAAGTGAAAAAAGTAATTTGGCCAACAGAATCAAGAATCCATAAACGGTCTCTTCCCAGGAATTCAGTTATTTTACAGGTTGCCCTCCAAGACCCTTCCACAATTATGGAGGAAATAAGCCCAGAGAAAGACTTCTGGCTGATTGTTTTTAAGAATATTTGCCATCCTCCCCCTCAGGACCTTGAACTAGAATTCAGTTATTTTCCCGTTAGCTTCAAAATCTATACCAGCTGTCACTCCAATACATGGAAAATACTGAATCATACAATGGTAAAAGCACAGACACACTCCCTGGAGCCCCGGGGTCTGGTGCTACCTGAAAGGCACCCAGGGTCGTGCAGAGTCTGGCCCCAAACAGTGGCCCTGCTTCCCTCTAACATTTATTTATATAATCAACAAAAGCAAAAGAACACTGAATTTTCTAAGGAAAAAATTTTTTTAATTTTGCTAGATTAAGACTAAAAAAGAAAGGTAATCCTTAGGAAAAGTCCATAGCTATTTAGAGCTGCCTACAAATGGTCTCTGAACCTACATTTTCTCCTCAGGACGAATTAAAAACAAAACTCTCAAATTCACCTAAATTATTAGGAATTTTTTTAAATTCTTCTTTTCTATTAGGGAGATTAATAAAACTTTAAAGTGTATTTAACTTTTGGATTCCAAAGGAAACAAAAGTAAGACAGTTTCTAGAGTTAAATAAAACATATAACGTTAAAACTATCTACAAAGATAGTAACTATACAGAACATTTCAGGAAGTGAAACTATCACCGCCTTTTTATGAGAAATTCTGACTTTATGATTTCTCTAGCAATGATAACAGGCAATGCCTCTTCTCCAACTCAGAATCACTTCACGTAATGGCTTAAAATATCTGTGAGAGTGGACACAGGTCCCCTCACAACCGGGAGTCAAATGTTCCCTCTTTCTCTGCCAGTCGGCCCCAAATCTGTGAAGTCTTCATTCCAAAACAAACTTCAGACTTCTGAATTAGTACAAATACACAAACACAAAAACACCAAAAGGTTAAATGCTTTCTCCTCTCCCAGAGTTTATTCTGCCCAGAAACCTCTGAAATGTGACTGAATACACGGAATCCTCTAGCACCTGGGCTCCAAGTAATAAGCCTAAAGCCTACAGTACTTTATCATCATTCTAGGTAAATATATGGTTATCTCCCTCTTTATTATTTTTTTAAAAATTCAGCAAAGGTAGAAAAATGAAGACAGTTCAAACTACATTCCAAGAGATACTGAAAAGCAACCAAACCATGCTTCACAGGAAATCTTACTTCTCAACATCTAATAACACCAAAGGCTGAACTACTAAGAATATATGCTTTTTTTTCTTTAATGGGGGCATCATCTG